AAAAAAATTTTGCATATAAAAAAGAATAATCGTAAAAAAAGCTTAATGATAATAAAATAACTACATAATAAAAACTACATATAAATAATAAAAATAAAATATAAATAATAAAAATAAATATAAAAAAATAAATAAAAAAATAAAAATAAAAATAAAAATAAATAATAATAATAAAATAAAAATAAATAAATAATATAATAATAATAATAATAATAATAATAATAAGGATGATAATAATAATAGTAATAATAATGATAATAATAATAATATATATATTATTATTTACCCGAATATTTAAACATATTTAAACATAAATAAATAATAAATAAATATTAATAAATAATAAATAGCAAATAGTAAGCAAATATCTTTGCAATTCAATTGCAATTGTAACAAATATTTATTGCAATGCTGGGCAAGGATCTGAACGTTGAACCATCATATTGAACAAATGATTCATTATAAATAAGTGAAACATTATTATTTTCATTTTCACTATTGATATTATTATCAAAGCTGATTTCTGAAGAAAATCTTGTAGTTTCTGAGCCCGCTTCAACAATAACTTGTTGATTTAATAAAGAATCACTATTTTTTTTGCGTGGTTTTTTATTTTTTTGTCTGTGACTGTAGTTTGTTGGTGTAATGACAACAAACTCATTTGCAGAATTATTATTGTGCTTCCTGGGTTTGAATGAATAACCTGGAAAGTAGATGCAGTGCAATTGTTTGACCTTGGCTTGCAGGGTCTTATATATCCAGACTTCCTCAGGGCTCGCCCCCCACCAAATCAATTGAGCGATTTTGGTCTGGGTTCGGCGGTCACCCAAGTTGACACCAGCAGCAACTAAGTTAACCACCTTAAGGAGGATTAATACGCAGTTCATAGGTCTCGGTTGTTTGTTGGCGTATGATTTTGGGCGAGGATACAATGTTTCCGGTTCAGGTAGATTGGTAAATAATTTATCTCTATCAATTCTTTTGATTATTGCCAAGTATTTCCAATCCTTGACTTTGTTGGGAGGAGTCCCGTTTGAATTAAAAAACAACTTGTTCTCCCACTTATATCCATAATCTTCTGCTGGAAGAGTAATGACAACGTTGTTTAAATAATTATGGCCTAAAATTTGTTTTTCCATATTTAAAGTACTTAAAGTCATTGTTGATTTTTAATTTTAATTAAAGAATTAAAAAGAAGGGAAATAATAAGTGAAAGGAGAGTGTTAATGAATTTTAATTTATTAATTAAAAAGAGAAAAATTTAATTTTGTTTTGAGTTAAGGAAGAAAATTCGTTTTATTTATATATGAAAAAATTTAATAATGGACTGTATATAATAATAAATTTTATAATAATAATAATGGTTATATAATAAATAAATAACGTAGTGTATCAATTAATATTGTTTTTTTTTAATCATTGTTATTTTTAATTTACACATAATGCACACAATTTATATTGATGAAAATCGGTGATAATATGTTAAAGTTTTCAAATCAAATAACAATTTTTCCTTGCATTTAAACAAATTGGCCCAAGAGCGAGCTTTCAAATGTTTTTATACGTTTATAATTGCTATTGGAACATTTAATTTAATTGTTGTTGTTGTTGTTGTTGTTGTTGTTATTAATAATGTAATTGCGCGCGCGTGCCTTTATTCAAAACGGGTTATTGGCGTTTTTTTTCCATTTTCAATGACATTTTAAATTTTCAACTCCTGAATTTTAAATCTTTATATAGTAAATGCTGAAGGCTGTTTTTCATTCATTCATCATCCATTCATTCACTCATTCACACACACACACACCCCACGCAATCACTAGTAGTTAGTTAACTGAAACTCTCTAGTCCATTATTATTAACTGTTGATTGATTGTCGATTAATTAATCATTCAATGAATTAATTAGCTAGTTTAATTTATTGATTGATTGACGAATTAACCAGATTACAATGACAACAGCAATAACAACAGCAACAACAACAATCATTGTTCCCAATTCATTGTACAAATTTCTTTCTTTCTTTCTTTAACAGCTTCAAATTTTTGGTTTTTAGGTTTTTCAAAAGGTTTTTACGACGACGAACCTTGATTTATCGAAAGGGCTAATTTAAAAGAATGATTAATAATGATGATATTATTCTCATCAAATTATATTGCATACATATACAGCATACCACATGTGTCTGGAGTTTTAACTCCACAAAATATTTATTAATTGTTTTGTTACACCCAATAAACTACTATAATTTATTTTTGAGGGAAGGCGGAAATATATTCATATTTTATTTTATTTTATTTCATTATATCATTTTATTTTATTTTATTTTATTTAATGAATTGAAATAGTTAATTGGTTAAACGAGTAAATTGGATGAAACAGATTAGTAATCAGTTTGATTGAACGTTGGGGGTAATTGGTTTTGTTAGTTTGGTTGTGCATTCTATTTTTAATTGAAACATAAAATAATCCCTTAAAAAAAAGATTCCTAAAGAGTGTTTTAATACCGAGAATGTTAAAAATGGCAGGAAAACATTTGGTTGCATTTTAATTAAAATTACCAAATATGTTTTCTTTATATTATTTATTAATTATATCATATCACTACTAATTTTTTTCCTTTGTTATAATAAACCCTTGCATGGTATGACAAAATTGGCAAATCATAATCATTAAGAGTTTATTTTATAAGATTAATCTAGAACAAGGTTTTATTAATGTTGCACAAACGTTTTCATTGTTCTATATGTGGGACATTTTATGCTAATTAATTATTGAATGACAAAAAAGAAAGTGTTGACGACACAACAAATATGAACATCGATGATGGAAAGAATCCTGCAAGTAATAAAATGTTCGATTCTTCCTTTAGTTAATAACAATAATAAAGTTTGAAAAGTTTGACTTTTGTTTTGTAGGCGACGCTGGAAAAAAAGAAATTGGCGACGACAACATTTGTAAAAAATTATCATCATGGAATGGACCATATAAACCTTTAGTTAATTACATATCCTTTTCTATTTTAGGTAATTAATCGATCTTAATATAATTATTGTAAACAGCATCAATAAAATGATGACGTATAATAGTATCAATACGCGCGAGTTTTGTGCAATTATTTGTAACACAAATTAAATATTTCATTCATTTTTTTTAATTTTAATTAACAGCAAAAATGCCATCATCACCATCATCACCATCATCACACAGTCGTTTACCAAACCATTATCATCAAAATTTAAAAAAACGTGCACAATTAACATTGTTAAATTTGCTAAATTTGCGCTTAATTCGAATATCTAAACTTCAATCAATTGCCATTATACTGTTGCTACTACTCATCTATTTCACATTTTTAAAAAGTAATACAACTAAACCTATAGATCGCAACCACCATGTATTATATACTCCTCGAATATTTGAAGGTTTGATTTGTTCTTTATATTTCGTTTCCACTTTCTGTGCAATTTGGTTATCCTCATCCATTATCGTT